CCTAGAAGACCATTACAAGTTTCGAACACTTGAAACCAATTCATTCGGACAGCTTCTGAGCTTCATTAAAAAAAACGATAAACGAGACACAGGGATATGGATCATAACAGTATAACTTGGTAATGGAGTAGAGGGTAGCGTGGGTTGGAGACACTGCCTACATTTTTAGACATTGAGAAATAATTAGTATGCATGCCTGAAAATGACGTGTGGATGATTCTGCTCCGTTTCATTTCACCAATACGTACAGCTGCCACCCCATCCCTCCAAGTACTCTCCACTCCTCTCGGAATTCATCTCATTATGAACTAAACTCCTTGAGATGAAACCCGAGAAAGAAAAAGATCTCAGGAGTTTTCAATGGTATTTCTTTATGGGTGAAGATAATTTTGATGTTAACCAATTATTTACTCCGTTTCTGGGGGCTCCGCGTGGCCTACTGGTCCAAAGCGCTGTCCGTTACGGATCACTGCCATCTCACCTCTGTCTGTGTGGGTTCGAGTCTAAGATTCGGCGAATGTGGATATGTGAGAAAGCTTGCCAGTAGCTTCTCGTGGGTCGGTGGTTCTTTCCGGTGATTTCCCGGTTTCTTCCTCCACCATTAATACTGGCCGCCATGAAAAGCCTATCATGTGCTGAAAAATGGCGTTAAACCTCACAACAACAACAACAACTCCCTGTTTCTAGGGGGTCCATTTGTTTGCTATAAATCGAGGATAATTTAGAAATATATCCTTCATACCACCTTCAGCCCATATATCTTTTGCCAATATTTGTGTTTCTTAATATTCAATATTGTTCCAACATTATTTTATCCACGTCATTACTGCAGACATTATATATGTTGATATGACTTTATTTTAATAGTACATACATACAGTGCTGCACTTAATTTTTCTGTAGGATTTTTTTTTTTAAATTACATTATGCGTGCAAATTCTATTAAACTATTTGTAAAAATAACATCACATGTCTCGCCATTGGTACTGACTACACATTTCTACACGAATAACATATTATATCTACGTATTTCTTATCCGTCTAATGAAATGGATGGTATATCCTTTCACAAAGCTATATAGTTATACCGTGCGATCTCCTTGAAGCCAGATATGAGAAGTTTCAAATCGGCGTTATGCTGTATTGAGTGGGTATCAGAGGCAAACAGCGAAAGGCAAGCTAGCAGCTAACAGCAGTGCGAGTGTATTTGGCACCATTCATATCAGTGGAGGTAGGGATCACAAACAGAAAGGAACTGTCGAAGAAATTATGGTTATTGTAATATCTCTTCTCTTTCAAAGAATATAACATTTTCATTTGCAATAACTGAAAGACTTAATAATAAAGCTTGAGAAATCCACTCACTGGTATTATCACGGACTCAAATTTGTCACGATCAACAGTGTTAGAATCGATTCTCTATAACCAGCAAATATCTCATTAAATTTCAATGCATAACAATTATTCCAAAGTGAAGGGTTATTACTCGGTGTGCGCACTTCATTTGCTGTACTTCAATAGCCGAAGACTTACAAATTCAGGTCCAAATCTCGTAAATGAGTTGTAATTAGTTTAGCTGATGCAAGTTAATTCTAACCGTTTACTTTACGTTGAATTACCAAACTGTAATTATATCTAAGTATAATAGACATACCTAGTTCATCTAAATAAACAAAGCTAAATAATTTTAAACGAATAACTTAACTCTCTACTACAATAACTACCATAAATCGTTCATATTGTAAAAGATTGAAGCCTGGACATTAACAAGTATATCATATTACAACATTTAGTTCTGACGTAATGTACGTGACTGTTACTTGTCCTTTCTTTTGGATTTAATACAACTACGAGACGACATGGAGATTTTCCAAGGGTAAGATGTTTTAAACGTTGTATCTATTTAATTTTTATTTCATTTTATTTCTATTTTATTTTTTTTTACAAGTTTCAGATACATGTTGAATGAGAACTGATTTTGTAAATTGAATGAAAATTTATATACGGTACCGTTCTAAATAAAAACCGATACTTCTTGTCGTGAGAGAAATTAATCGATAGTAACGTAGGTATCTACAAATAATAATATTTCTATTTTTGCCAGTAAACATAACATACATAGTCATATTTTTGCTGTTTGTTTTAAATATTAATCAGCTTAGAAATTAAAATGGCAATAATCGGATTGCGTAGCATTAGACCATTCAACGGTATTTCGTAAAATGATCATTTAACTCACAATCAGTTGTAATTGAACTTAATATAGACTGCATCAACTTCTTAAAGCAATTATTACACAACTTTAAAGTTAAATAGCAATTCTAAAAATGTTAGCGATCACGTAACGCTTGTCAGAATGTCGATTTATATATATTTTTACTGCACTAACTGCGCCCAATCAATTGTTTGTTTTAAATATGAAGATTTAATTAATGTTGAGAACGTCTTAATAAAAATGTACTTCTATCTTTTTTTACAATTCCGGTGTAAGCAAGAATATGCATCGGCCTGGGTGTATATTGGTATTTTTCGGTAAAGCCAATGACGTATAGGGTACCCTAAACCATAGGACGTTTTTTAGTTCATTTATTGCTTGCTATTTATTCTAACATGCCTGATCTAGAAATAGTTGTACAAAACATATTTCTGTATTACACACCCATATTAGAACTACTTAATTGCCTTCTTTGAAGTCCACGAGTCATGAGTTTTAGTGGGATTGAATCGAACTTTATAAATCCCAGTTAGTTTTAAATTTCATTTATACAGTAAAGCCAAAAATATGCGTATAAACGTGGCCTGATGATCTCGACATTTCCCTACGTCATATCAAACTCGCTCTTTCCGCGACATAAAACAGTACAGTTTTGTGTCTATATGGATACTGGATCCCCGATATAAAACAATACAGTTTTGTGATTGTATGGATACTGGATCTCCGACATAAATCAGTACAGTTTTGTGACTATATGGATACTGGATCCCCGACATAAAACAGTACAGTTTTGAGACTGTATGGATACTGGATCCCCGACATAAAACAGTACAGTTTTGAGACTGTATGGATACTGGATCCCCGACATAAAACAGTACAGTTTTGAGACTGTATGGATACTGGATCCTCGACATAAAACAGTACAGTTTTGAGACTGTATGGATACTGGATCCCCGACATAAAACAGTACAGTTTTGAGACTGTATGGATAATGGATCCCCGACATAAAACAGTACAGTTTTAAGACTGTATGGATACTGGATCCCCGACATAAAACAGTACAGTTTTGAGACTGTATGGATACTGGATCCCTGTCTCAAAACAGGAAATGAGTTAGCTATGTTTACTTTTGTTGCTGACTCTGCATCGTTATGTTTTCCACGATTCAACGCATTAAATACAATTATTTAAAAACGTCAAAACGAAAACAATTAGAGCTATATTAACATGATATTGTAAAAGTAAGGACCGTACTTATATTTTCATTGCTAAATATTGTCTCCAATAAGTGCAATTATATGGGCAATGATATATCTCAGTAGAAATTGGTGTTTGATGACGGAAAACACACGCAAAAGATTAGCATTGGTATAGAAGCTTTATACAATGATGAACAATGCTACGCATCAAAAGCGTTCATTAGTTTGAAGCACGTCCTGGAACAAAAGCGTTCATTAGTTTGAAGCACGTCCTGGAACAAAAGCGTTCATTAGTTTGAAGCACGTCCTGGAACAAAAGCGTTCATTAGTTTGAAGCACGTCCTGGAAAGTAACCTAGTCCTTATACGTGTGATCTTCTATATTTCCAAATCGTATCTATGCACGATTAAAAAGAAACAACGTCTTCGTTTGACTCGTCTATTGATAACCAGGAGAAAAGAAACTTAGGTATCTTTTACAAGCATGTGCTTGAATATTGCTTATATGCACACATTTAAAGCAGGTGCAATCGCGGCAGCTTCAAGTATAACCAAAAACAAGATTCTCGTAAAGTTCATTTCATGTAGTTCGATTTCCGAATTTCTTATTTACCTATACTTGGCCCAATAATCACAGAACTCATCAACTTGAGTAACCACCTAGACACAAACGTTTCTCTTATTTACAATTTTCAATCTATGAAGGAATCATAGAGGAGTAATATGCAAATTTTAATTTATCACACACAGATAAAATTCAAATTCAAAAATTAAATTTAAAAATAATCTCAAATCATAGACAAATATTAGCCATGTAATGTGATGTTTGCAAAATTGCAAGACATTTGTTAGGTAAGCCCTAAACTCAATTATTGATAAAGGGCAACCTTACAGTATCGATATAGATAACATATAATCAGAGACAAAAGTCAACACACAATATAAATTGAACACACACATATATATATATATATATATATATATATATATATATATATATATATATATATATATATATATATATATATATATATATATATATGTGTGTGTGTGTGTGTGTGTGTGTGTGTGTATGTGTGTGTGCTTGTGTGTGTGTGACTTCAAGACTCACCAATTAAAAATTATCAAAGTCAGTATTGTCGAATGTCATTTAAATACTCATTGCCCGTTTGTTTCGAAAAATACAAATACAAAAAATGGACAAAACAAGGTGTAAGTGGTTAAATAGCAGAGGATTTTTGAAGCGGATTTCTAGTACCTCGACCTTACAGATTACAGAATACAGTTAATTGAAAGACCGAGTTACTTAATTGTTTTGTCTTCTACGATTTCTGTGCTATAAGTACAAGTTACTTTTTATGGATTCATGAACATAGACAATAAATAACTGCTGATACAAGTAAATAGAAAGCTTATGAAAATCAAATTAAGTGTTTTATATGGTATTTCATTCTATCCAGAAGTTCTATCTTTCGCAGACACCTTTTCGTATTATCAATATGAAAAATCAGTGCCCTCTCTTATTATCCTTTTTGCGTATAAATACATGTAACAAAACCTCCCACAAGATCAATAATCACCAAATAAGCCCAGACCGCTCGCTCTAAGTGGTTAGAGCGTCTGCCTCAGATGCGGGAGGTCGCGGGTTCTAACCCCAGTCTGGTCATAGCAAAGATTAATTTGAAAAACAGCGCTCAGCTTTTAGAGGTTAGTATAAGGACTGGTCGGCCTGTTGTCAGGATAATGTGACTGGGAAAGATATATAACTTTTGTCTGTAGCATGATGTTACAGAGCTAGGCGTGATTATGAACTGCCACATTGCAGGCATGGTAGCGATATGACTATATTGTTTAAGCTACATTAAACTTCCAAATATAATACACAGAAACACACACACATACACACCCACACATAAAACAATTTCAAACTCAGTCCAGCTCTACTCAGAAAATTATATTATTTGTCTCCTGACGATTGCTTGTACTTTTGATGGGTCTTCATTTCTCCCTTTTCAAAGCGTTTATTTATATCATAATTTGTTCATTTTATAACAGCAGTAATTATTTTCTCGTTCGTAATTCTTTATATGATGGTGACATGTGAAACAGATTTAATTTAGAGATGATGTATAGATCTGGAGGGTGTCAATTAATTGCTAAGTATGGTGGAGCTTTTGCAAATTAAGTATTCTTACCTCTCGATGTTTTATGCAATCTTCATATTCCAAACAAACTGATTTTACTAATTTTCCTATTTTCGTCGAATATCCGTTTCTTGATTCAACATTTTGAATATTGTCCGTTTCTGGATAACTTGATTTGACATTAGTGTATTTTCTGATGTCATAGAATCTGGATAACTTGGTTTTAATATGTAAATACATATATTTATAAGTGTGTTTGATATATGGTTGTTTTATATGTAGCCTAGGAATGTCACAGTGTCCAGGAATTATATTTTATTCTGATGAGTAGCGAATCTCTAGTTTAATTTTAAGATGACTGAATTCACACCCAGTAAATTTCCTTTAGCTCAGCAGGTCCATGTATCTAAACACCATACCTGGTGTACTCGGACATAATGCTTTCTAATCGAGTGGAAGCCGAATAATAATTTACGTTCTAGTAGTAGCTAATTAACAATAATAATCTAATCTAATTGAATGATAGCATAATAAAAATCGAGGTAGAATCATCTATATAAGTTACAATATAGTAGAAAAACATAGCAAGAAACAATGATATTAAGGTCGTTGGGATATAAAGTATCAAACGCAGTAACTTTCTTTAAGCAGCATGTTTAATAAAAGAAATATTATGTCAAGTGTGATCATTTGTATTAACATATATTGTAACATTAGAAGAGAACTTAGGACTCGAATCGAATTTAAATCCAGAGAACGTAGGACTCGAATCGAATTCAAATCCAGAGAACGTAGGACTCGAATCGAATTCAAATCCAGAGAATGTAGGATCAATGCAGTTATTCATTCTCTTGTAATGTTCTTTAAATGTTTGTCCACAGTGCATGTTGACGTGTTTTAATGACTATCAAATACATTATTTCAGTCAGAACGATTATTGATCAATGACACGTATAATAGTTTTCAAAAGAAAAGTTTTCAAGTACACTAAAATATATTTAAAAATGTGTGTAAATCAAATATCATTAGTCATTGATAGCTTTCTCCAATCATTTCGTTTTATGTTCACAAATTTACAAAAAGCATTATTGAAAATCATGTATTATCAAAACTGTGAGAGAATTAATTTAATATATAAATTGATAACAACGCCAAATTTAATGCACTCTATAATGTATCTAGCATCTCAAGTGTTATGGAAAAGGCTACATGAATTCAAATGCCATATAAATTCAAAGATCGTTAAAAGCGCTAGAATATATGCCTAGAGAACAATTCCACCTGGTCTTAAACCGTATGTAATTAAATAATCAATAGCGAAATCGGCCATCAGTGCTCAATAGTGACACCGGCTATTAGCGACTGGATAAATCAATTGTACGAATCTTTTGAACATATTTTGTTTATGGCGGACAATTCTTGTAACTAAATGGTTTCTGAAGCTATGTGATCTTTCCATCCATTAACCATGTTCTAATGAGTCATGAAAAATGACGCACATGATGTTCATTGTGTCTGACATTTAATTTCCAATATAAAAATTTCGGGGAGATCACATGTTTATTTCATATCAGATATGCCGTGAGAATAATGCTTCGTTGACAGTGTCTTTGGCTCATCTTAGGTACACTTGCAGCCTTTTAATGTTGAAGGCTGCTGCCATGAAGTTGTCACTTTCTCTTTTCTAGCTGAAAGAATAATATAATTGTATAATCTTCAAACATGACTCAGGTCTATCAACTAAGAAAGATGTCTAAAGTGTTCAAAAACATAATTGTATATCTCTTATGTTTAAACCTTATTCTCTGAGGCCAAGCAATTCATTCTCCATTAGTTTAGTTAATTTGTTGTTGTGGTTTTGCTTGGTGGTGAAATTCTGTTCAAAGTCATCTTCCTTTTCATCGAACCCTTCGTTCCAAAAGATAGATTACATTTCCAATATGTTCGTTTATTGTTCTTCGCTTGTCGAACTGTTAAATGTTACATTTGTATGGTCAACTCCTTTGATAATAGATTGTATGCATTGTCCGTTATTTCTGTCGGTTTTAGAGAAACGTTCCTTAAAAGCATTATAAAAAGTCTGTTAAAAAGCATTTTTAAACTCTGCTTCATTTTGACTTTGACCAATAGAGGTTTCTCAATAAATGAGCAAAATTCATCGAACTCCTAAGGTTGTTAACTTGATAAAAATAAATATAAATAATTCGATTTTCAAAATAAAAGGTTTTGTTACTAATATAGCTCTAGTCGGTAGGGGCGATTATAAACCTTGTGTAAGGCATACATTTCCATATAAATTTTTAAAAAGAAAAAATGTATGTTTGATATCTAGTCCTCTTTTAATATAGGAGTAAATGATCATAGATGGGTATGTATCGATGTGTAAATTTTACCTAATCACTCACAAAGTAAATAAAGTTATTCCTAACATCAGATCACTAGATACAATCAACAAAACATTAACTTTTATGTACATTGAAGGTTTCTTTCATTAGTCCGTTTTACTGCGATCGAATACATAGCCCTATCTACGCTAGCCAATATTAATCGACCCTTTATATAGTGATATGGGGTAGAATGTCATAGCGGGTTGTGCTGGTGATATATTGCTATGATCATTATTTTATTATAAAAATTGTTGTTGCGGTTAAACCAAGATTATTCCTTTTTTGAAAATTACTCTTGTGTATGGCACTGTTGTTATAGCAACGTCATTGTTACTTTCAACGCATTTCAATCTTTCAAAAGCAAAATCGTGTTCATTTTAGTGAGGTCCCCTGGCTGACATATGACCCTGACCTTTAATAACCGCTGCTGTAACATGTAGTCAAGGAAATTGCAATAATGTCCTAAGATTGGCTTCTAAAGCCTGCCATATGCCGTCTTTGGCAAAAGGGCTGAGTGTTGGAGTGCTGGAAGATCTATGCAATTTCATTATTTTAACTTCTTATGGTCGATTTTAATCTGTGACTTGTCATTTTTGATGAAACCACAACAGTGGCTGGGCAGGAGCTTTTTGTTTGCCATTGTTATGGTGTAAGGCGTTAATATAGATAAACTTCACCTCAAATGATCCGGAAACAGGAAACCAAAAGTAGTCCGCAGAATTTATTGATGTGAAAAAAAAAACCCAGATCTGTATCACGTGACCGTTTATATCTAATCGAAACTCATTTTAAAATAATCCAATCAATGAGTGCTATACTGGCGATGGCGAAGTACAGTTGTGAAACTGATTGGAGACTACGATAACTTAAGAAGCAAAGTATAACGGTCCTTCTTTTCACCGATGTAAATTGATTATGAAATATTCAAAAAGCATACACTTTGGAGGAAATCATAACTTATAGAGTCTGATCTGTTGATCACTAAGTTAATAAGATACGATTCAATGCAAGAAGAAAGTCATAATAAACACTGCAAGAATAAATATATTTCATTCACCAAGCATCTCAAAATTGATTGGTTTCTGAACGGTGGTAAAGAAATACAAAGCATGATAATGATAATTCAGTTTGTTCACAGTTTTTATGAAGCAATGATTGGAATCGTTGGCCAAAATATAAAGGAAGAAAGTTTCACAAAAACAAGATGTTTGCATTATATGCAACGTAAAAGTTTGACAATATAAGATTTCGTAGATAACCATGAAGGATTTAATGAAACAGCAATAACGCTGATATAAAACGATTGTTCAGATCGAAGCTTTGAATTTGAATGCAAAATTTTGAACGCAAAATTACAGGTTGGTTTTAAATGATACTACTTATAAAGGACCTTTCGATAATGTGTGATATATTTGAAGTTTTTCAATCATTGCATTAAACACCTCAAATTTGTTCCTTATTTTACCGCTGCTTTATTTGTTTGAAGTAAACTAGTGTATAACCTGATCTGGTAACTGATTATGATATATTCATGACACGAAAAAGAAGAAGTACAGAAATAAACACTATACCATTTTGATACCCTAACTTAAATCTTGAAAAATTAAAGGTGACGCTATCAAGCCAAAACCGAATCATACCCGGATAAAATTAGTATAGATGTAAATACATGCCTTTTGATAATTTTGTATTGGCTACTGTTGAAGACATTGAATGTAGAGACAGATATAGTCTTAAAATACGTGCGAGATAACTAAAGCCTTGTAAGATTACATGAAAAGACAAGCATAGTACTCCTGAAAAACTAGTACTTAACACAGGTGACTTAGCTCAATAGTACCTAATAGTCTAATACATATGACTTAGCATAGTAGTACCTAACACAGATGACTTAGCATAATAGTACCTAAAACAGATGACAGATGACTTAGCATAATATTATATAACAGATGACTTAGCATAATAGTACCTAACACAGATGACTTAGCATAATAGTACCTAACACAGATGACTTAGCATAATAGTACATAACAGATGACTTAGCATAATAGTATATAACAGATGGCTTAGCATAATAGTACATAACACATATGACTTAGCATAACAGTACATAACAGATGACTTAGCATAATAGT